CGAATTAGCTCCAGGCGTCTGCATTGTCATCAGTGGAAAATTAGGTGTTGATCGCAGAAAAACAAGCATTCAGAAGGGGACTCATTTAGAGGTGTGAAAAACAGACTGATGGAGCTTAGAGAGGTAAAGTGAATGAGATTGATGACTTTAGGCAAGCCCGCGGCCCCAAGCGATGAAGGCGTGATGTGACTGTATATGTTGTCTGACAGCTTTATTAACATGCTCAACAAGCTAATCTTTACTTCTCTGTCTTTCTCACTTTTGGACACCCACACAGGCAATAAGCTATAGATGAGATTAGTGTTAAAAACAGAGGAAAGAGAAAGCATCCAACAACAGAATGGATGTTGCTCTGTAAAAAGGCTGGGAAATCGCACCATCGATCAATACAATTCGTGGTATAGCTTTCACAGTTCACACGCAATATACTTGATGATTTGTGGCATCAGACATATGGTCTAATTCATGATAGTCAGGGTAATATGATTTGCCGTTTTTAAAGTAGGAACTACTATTTGTTAAAGGAAATAAAGTCCTGGGTTTCCGCAATGTAGCCTTTTGCTAATTTCCCAATGGCATTACTTTGGTCATACACTTAGAGCATAAAATCACATATTACTTTTAATCTGAACAAACTGAAACGGTTATACTTTAATGAGATGTATTATGTCGACAGATTTCACATATTTTTGTAGAAGACCAGTGTTGGGACTAACGCGTTACAAAGTAACGTGTTTACTGTAACGCCGTTATTTCTTGCAGTAACTAGTACTCTAATACATTATTTTTTTAAATTCAGTTAACTCAGTACCGTTACTGCATGCTGCGTTACTCCGGTTATTTTTTATATAGTCTCGGCTCCAGACGTTGGTGAGCGGCGCCAACACGCGAGGCGAACAGAGGTGAGAAACTGTATCTTAAGTACAGTACTTAGATCTTCCTGTGTCACTTGCAGAGACGCGCTGTGGCGTGTTTGTGTTTTATCTAACAAGACTATCATGCTGGCGGTGGGGAGCTGCAAATCGGAGTTTTCTCCGCCTGGAGGATATTCTCACTATTTTCACTTTTGTCGAGCACAAAGAAAATATACGTTTTAGTTTCAATGTAAGTTGTGTCTGGTGGGTCAAAGATCCGATTCTTTACTGCCCAAAACAGCAATGAAAATCTGTTGAAGAGGAATCCACCTCCACCTAAGCAAACAAGCGGTCTGGATTTAACCGAGGGACTACTTTATGCAATGGGAAAAGTTGACAAAGCCATTGCACGGTATGTGATAGAACACATGGCAGCTATTTCTTACTATTCTAGTTGCTTATTGTCTTTGATCAACAGATTGTATCATTCTCCAATGCAATAAAGTATCGAAATGAAGGCTAGTAAGGGCATTAATGGGAGCCCTTTTTTTAAGTAACTAATGCTGTTTACTGTGCACAGTGTTCTGTATTAATGGCGTAACTAGTTACTGGTTTTTCAGTAAAACTAGCACAACACTGTGTCAAGACTGGAGTCCAATGGATTTTCCACATGCGATGATGAGCTGGAAGTCCTGGAGGAGGAGCGGAGGTCCATGACCAAAAATGGAGGCGGGACGTGGATTTCAGTCTCTGGAAGAAAGATGGCATGCTGCTTTGTGTTTCCACTGAGGAATAAAGCCGCAGCAATCTCTTTACAAAATTATTATTGAAATTTATTTTTTTAAAACACTGTGCATTTATAATTTGTATCTGTATTTATTGTGCATTGTCTCAACCCTAATGGTCTGTCTAACTAACTAGGATGGCGGCTTGTGTGTATGTGTCTTGTCTGTTGTGGTGCGTTCTGTGTCGTTTGTGTTAATTGTTGTTAATACTTGTCTAGCATCTCTATATCTAAATTGTTTCTTAAAAATCTTTTTTTGTTATCATTTGTTAGATATATATCACTTCATCACCAGTTTGGAGTCAATAATCCAGGAT